GACAGCTCGAGCGTCGTCGTTTCTATGCCGGGGGGGTTGAGATACACTCGTTCCTGCTGGCTTCCATGGAAGGACTCCTGCATCACCTCAAAGAAGAGACAGTGACGTCAGAGTATATAATTAGCGCTTGCACTTTCAGATGGGGTCCATACAAACCACCTCTTGGGGAAGGTGACGTCTACACTCTGCTTTCGCCATCTTTCCCCCTTACCAGTCTCTCTGCAACGTGGGCGCAATCCCGCGTGAAAAACCACATAGTGACTAAGACATACTGGACACTTCGCCTCGGGTTCATTCATGCATGCATGGTTGCCCCCTTCCACTTCCCTCCCTGAGCCTCCAGCCCTCCAGCTTTTGAAGGCTACTCCCAGCCCTCTGTCTTCCGCACCTCCAGCCACGCATCAGGCTACCATTCCCCATCGCAGTGATGAGCTCCACCAGCTCATCCCGCTCCGAGCGCAAGGTCACTCGGTGACCGGCGACGAGCCGGGTGAGTCTTCCGGGTGAGTCGACCCAGGGAGACCGGTTTGGACAAGGACCGGGGGATGATGCCCGGAGGTCCAAATTAAAAGAAAACAAGAGGAAAAGACCATCTGTGATGGAGGTCAGTGAAACGCTGGCCCGACATGTGGATGATGATCGAAGTCGCTTTTTGGAAGTTTCAAGGGCGTAGTCAGAGTCAGAGGTGTGTTGGGGAAGGAGTAGTCTGACAACATTCATGGGCAGCGTGGCATTCGCAAGGCTCATTTCCAACTTTAGCAGTTTCCCGAAGGCCCTGCATGTTCGTAGCTCCAAAAAGAGGAAGACACCCTAAGCCAGGGCCCGAGCATCGAACGCTCTGTCCAGATCTCACCTCGACTTGACTAGCTTTGTCCAGATCTCACGCTGGGGCTTCGACCATCCGAGCTCTGGTGGTGAGTCATCCGGGTCACTCCTGGCTCTTCGCTGCGCGCGGAATCCGAAGGACCTCGGGGCGCGGTCCTTCGGACGAGACGGACCAGCGCCTGCGAAATCCGAGCGAAGCGCCTGCGAAATCCGAAACCAGAACCCTCAGCGGATCAGTGTTTTCACCGTGTTTTGAACCGAGTCTACCGGTCTGCGCGGGTCATGTGATGCGCAGGTGGTCCTCTCTTCAGGTAGTCTCCACCAAGCTTGTCCTTCTCCCCCTTCTCCCTGCTGTCATTGTGATGCCTGAAGCCGCTGCTGGCCTTCCCACTCGTTGTCCATCGGTTGATGCTACACATCCAGGGACTCAAGTCGAAGCGGTGGTCTATCCCTTCAAAGAGGTACATGCCTCTGAAGGGACGGACGCACCCCACCAAACCGGAAGAAAGGGGGTCAGCACCAAAACCCCTCCCTGCCTGTCATCTTCAAAACCATCTTCTAGTAACCCTGCTGCTCCACTCCCTGCCCCACTCCCAGCGCGCGGCGCCTCTTTTCGCCACCTCTTTTCACACGCGCGCGCGCGATCGGCGGAGCTCGGTGCTCGTCCGATCAGCCCGGATCAGATCGGCCGCGGTGAGAAAACCGGGCTGCCGGACTAGTGGAGCTGCGGCAGTGGAGCCGGACCACATGATTTTTGTTCATGGTTCAACGGGATGACCGTAATTACTGTATATATCGATCATAATCTTTCAGTGAAATGCCACCTGTCGCCATCCGCTGGTAGAGGAAAAGGATCATCCACTTCCAGTTGTTCTCCCTCCCCAAGCTCATCCAAACTCAAACTCCTCGTGTACCATCTGCGCGCTACGCTTTCTGTTGGCAGAGGGTCCAACTGCCGAACCTCTTCATGTGGAATCCTAAAGCCCCCATCGGAGATTCAAAAATATTTGTCTTCGTTCAGCGTACTGAGCGTACTGATGCTGAGCATGGTGGGAAACACTGCTGTTATGTATAGAGAGAGAGAGATGATATATACTATGACTATATCTGATATGATCTGGTTTTATTCCAATTCTAACTACTACACCTTTTCTAACTTCCAGAAGTTGATCTGAGCATGTTCAGTGCTATAGCTAATGACACAACAAGAGCGAGGGGTCCGTGCCCTCTAGAAAGCCAGGTGCTTGGCACCTGGAAACCCTTCCGGACCTTTCTTCGGTCACGGGCGTCCACCGGGAGAAACCAAACCCCGAGACTTTGATGCTCTCAGGCCATCAAACAGCCCTACGGATTGAACTCGTCACGTCCGGCGCCGGCAGCACCACCAGCTGTTCGAAGCCTTCGCCGCTTTGGGCGACGTCGCATCCACAATCTTCACCTCCGGCTCCTCCCCAGTCGCTTTGGCCAGGTGAGACACCCACCGAGTCCACATGTCCAAGCACCCACAGATGGTCATCTGCTGACCCCAAGCAGACTTGTGCAAACCCACCACAAGAACGAGCATCAGTTCTTTCTATAGCATTCTATAGCGACAGGTCTGACTTTCTTTGTTCACGGGGAAGGGCGATAAACAAGTGTGGGGCCTGCTACCTACCAGCCTTGTACATCCTTGTTGCTCTACCAGTGCAAGAATGTTGAGGATCCACGGCAAGCTCGCAAGCTCAAGAATCCTGACCCTAAGTCACCCAAGTGCCGCGCGCCGCGCGCGGCACGCCCGCGCTGCTCCCGAAATCCTTCGAGGCCCCTTGAAGTCTCCAAGTGACACGTTGACCCCTTTTTCTCTCCCAAAATTTGGGCACGGCCACCCAACTTCTCGCCGTCGTGTCCTTGCTGCGCAAGAAGGCCCCGGTCCGGTCCTCGTCGCGATCGAACTTCTCCCACTTCTGCTGAAAGCTGTCGAAGGTACTTCGCTTACGCACCGTGCTCTTGACCTGCCAAGGTGTGAAAGCTGAAAACGCCCAGGGCCAAGCCTCCCCATTCCACGGAGAGAGGGTCCATCGCAGGCGGACCCAAGCCCCACTGACCTAAGAATGGATGTGGGGGGGCTCAGCATGGCGAAGTTGAAGTTTCGAACTCCTGTGTCTTGTGGCTTGTCTTGAAGATACAAGCTGCTCACACTTCCGTGCCATTTTATTCTCACCGCCACCGGACTCTCCCGGCAGCCCCAATCCACGGGGATTACGCACATCACACCATTCGTTGAGCGGAGGATGACTGGGACGACAACGACAAACAGAAAGCCGCTGCCACCCACACACAACATCAACAGCAACAGACCACAACAACCACCACGACCACACCCCAGTGGCCCTTGCTGCCCTAAGAATCAAGGACCCATCTGCCGGTGAAGACCATTGAGGGTCTAACCCCCAGTTCCCAGGGTCAGTGGAGGCCTCCAGTGCGGAGGCTCTGAAACATCCGCGGGGGTCCCGCCTGCCACTGGGCATCTTCCGGGTTGATCCGCGGTGGAGAAGGTGCTTCCTCCGTCTTGGGCCGGGCGTGGTAGTAGCCCTTCCTGGGGCGGGCAGGCGCGGCAAAGCGGGGCGCGCCGTGGTGGCAAAGCTGGGGGTAACGTCAAAGGAGAAAAGAAAACTTAAAACAACACCTCTGAGGTTGACGAATAATAAACCTGGGCTCATTTTTCATCAACGGCCCCTACATTGATTGCCTTTCACCCTTAACTTATAAATTTGCTGGTCGTGGGCGCGCCAAAGATCACTCCAAAAAGTGAACCAACATGCCTATCCCGTCCAGGAGGTGGAGATGGCGCAGACCCCAAGAGGTGGTTTATATGCACCCCATCTAAAAGACATCTTGGGGTCTGTGCCATCTACTCTGAAACCACTGTAGATGGCAGAGGTCTCATTCAGTCGAGTCATGCCAACAAATCTCCATCAACTCTTCAGTCGATCAACACCTGTAGGCGTGGAAAATCCAAAGCCCCCGATCGCGGAGGCCCGGGGGCACCACTTGGGCGGCTTCATGAAATGCCCCCCGGATCACGTGGAGGTTTTGCATGGCTTTACCGTTACCATCCGTTACCCCAGGATGGTAGAAAACTATCGGTGCTCCCGGACAGAGGAGTTTCCTCTGTCATCCAAGCTTCTTTGCCACCTCGGCCAGTGCCTTTCGCTCCTCTTCATCCAAGTCATCCGTCTCCAGCTGACTTTGACAGTCCTTCAGCCGGATCAGCTGGGGGTCGTACCTGCGCGAGACATGGGTGGTTTTGGGCGCTTCTCGCGCGTCTGCAGACCCACACCCATGATCAATCCCCCCTGTGGGTCTTTGAGGGTGGTTTTGGTGTGAAGCGGACACCACCATAGCAGCAATTCCTCGAAGAAAGTGGGCCTGACATATCACTCAAGTACCCTTAATACCCCTTGCCAATGGGGGCCTCCATGAAGAGTTTGTGTCATGCAGTTGTCCCATGTTGTCTTGACATACCCCCCGAGAAAAACAAAACTCAAGTCGCGAAGCTTCGAGAAAGCTAATGCGAAAAGCATCATAAACACATGGCTGCGAAAGGAATATGCGAAAGGACATGTTGGATGACATGAAAAATATATATTGTGTATATTGGTGTATATATATATATATACACAGTATGTATATATATATATATAGCTGTGTGTGTGTGACTTAACCATTCAAAAATGGAAGGTGGGCCCTGGCCGCCAAGCGACTTCTTCTGTTCCTCCTCTCCCATTGGCCACAGGGCTCCGTGCGCGCAGGCTGCCAATGGCTCGATAAAAGGCCGCGAAGCGGGAAAGTAGGCCAAAGCGGCCCGGGTCTTGGAAATGCAATTGGGAGAATGGAAGATCAGGCCTGCGTAACCTCCGATCTAGGGCGCCCTTTGGCAGGTGGATTTCCAGGGGCCCTACGTGAATGAATCCAAGGCTTCTGTGCTTGCAGGTGGGCTTAGAACTTCTCCTGTGCAGGACTTGCAAGACTTGGCGTCTGCGGGCCACAGCTGCAAACCACATCAAACTAAGCTACAAGTTACACCAACCTTGGTCTATAGCCAGCATGCATCAGGGCAACTTCTTTGAGAAACATGCCTTCAGCAGGTTCCTCCTTGTGGTCTCTTATCCGCTCCTCCAACTTCTGAAACACCCTCATGCCTGTTGGCCTATTTCTCTTTCACCACCCCGTCTCCATGACAGCCCCGCATTCGATCTTTTTTCTCCAGGCTCCTGGGCCTGGGTGTTCAAGGCCTCCAGCTTTCTCAAGACCTCCTGCAGGTCTCCCGGCAGCGGCTCCGCCACTCGCAGTGTTCCGCGCTTTCCACGGCCGAAGCTGAGACGGTGCCGGTGGAGGAAGTTCCGGGGGCACCAGTGCAGATCGCTCCGGTAGGTGGCTATGGACGTGTACTTGCCATCCGCGACCGTGGGCCTAAGCTGTGAGGAGGCGAGGGTGGCAAAGGAAGGCCAGTGGTGGGCCACCACAAAATGATCCCCAAACAGTCCGAGAACCAACTAAAACCTGGTCCTCATCGAGCACTGCTTTTTGGGGGGCATGGCCAGACCCAAATGAGGGGTGGGTGGGTCAGTGGATGGGTCTTCTTCCCCCACCTCCACATCCGACTCACAGCTCTCACCCACATCCAGTCCGCGGCACGTGCCCACATGCGCACAGTGGCATCGGATCTGATGCCGCCGCCCCGTCCCAATCACCACCTCCGCCAGGCTCAGCGCGCGCGGCTCGCGCAGCGGGCTCGGTGAGCGCCGGTGGGAACGAAGCGTGAGCTGTGTGAAGACTGGCCTAGGCTCCCAGGGACGTTGGAACCCCTGCTTTTTCAGACTGAAAAGCCTCAGAAATTGGAGACTGCAAGGCTGCAGAATCAATCTGTATAGCTAGAACCTGAGTAAATCTCCATTCTGGAACGCCAAAGCACCGAAAATATGATTCCGTTCCTCTCCTAACATAAGGAGCTTGAAGGACCCCCCAAGTTCAAGTGATGGTCTTCAATCGCTATGGTAAAACACATGCAATCATAGGTTTGAACCAGTGAGCCAGTGGACTGATGGTAGTTATTTGGAGACCTCTTGGGCCCCAAGTCATAGGAAGTCTAATATTGTCATCCAGCTGCTCAGCATGCTCTTGGGGTTTCCACGTCGGGTTCCGACCATCACAACCTCACGGTATTTTTTCATCACCGTGAAAAAAGGCCTCCTGAGCCAACAAAGGTCCAAGTAAGGCCCGATAGAGGAGAGTATGTCCTCCAAATCGGCCTCTCCAAATCATATAGCATATGGGCGGACAATAGTGGACAATAGGACTAATAATATGATATACTATGTCCTCATATGTCCTCCAAGTCTGTGCTGAAAAAAACGCATCATACGGCTCTTTCGGGCCTCTCTTGAAGCCATCTTCAGCTTCCAAGGGGCCATCCACGCGGCTCCACCCTCGTGCGCGCGTGCCGCGCGACCGACGCGCGGCTCCAGCTCACCGGTGCGCGGATGACGCGGGAGCTCAGGAGGCCGTGGCTGAGGATGATGTACTCGCCTCCGGAGACCCAAACACCACGGCCGCGGTGCAGTGTTAACACCACCCGCCCCGCGAGGGTACTTCTTCACCGGCGGGGCTCTGGGACTCTGACCTCTGGGTGGTGGGTTGTCGTGAAATGACGTGCAAACCCCAAAGGAGGTCGCTCAGGTGACGTCGCTCCCTCAAGTCCCTCGACCAAGTGACGTCGCAGGTGTCCGGTCGCCAACTGGAACCGGAGATCGTAGTAGTTCCTCGCAGTCGAAATCCGACCAGAAGTCGAATCCGAAGAGACTTCGGAATTTTAAGAGCTGGGGAAGCTTAGAGGTCAACAACGATCAACAGGTCCAGGTATCATCAGGTGTCTGTATACAGGTCCAGTCTGACCCAGTAAAGCCTGATGCTAAAAACCCTCATGTTACGTGCATTCGGGGGGCAAATGAGCTCCTTGACCCCACCCCATCGCGTCCCGAGCTCGATCCCAGCTCGCCTGTAGTTGGTGGCGCACAAGATCAGCCCGGAGCTTGGCAAGTCTAAGCGGTGTAAAAAGCCCAACTTGCAAGCCAAATCACCTGGGCGAGAGGCGAACATGACGCGTAAACATCTTCTGGTCGGTGGGTTCGACTCAGTTGAAGAATATTATTTGTCAGTGGTATCAAATCATATCAAATCATCTCGAGTAAAGGTTGCAAACAACAATCTCCGAAACCACCACACAGCAAAGGACTTGGCCTGAATCCACATCACCAGTGTCTACTTTGGTTGCTTTGGGGGTGCTGGCGGCAGGGCCGTTCCCAGTCATGATGCACCACGTAGCGGGAGATCAGAAGCAGGAGAAAGCTACACCCTGGAAGATTATATAAACATGGAACCTGAAAACCACTGGGTTGTAAAGGAAAAGTGTCTTCCAATGTCCATTTTCAGGTTCTATGTTTATCTTCCTGGATGCACGCATTCTCCATTTCTCTGATCTGGAAGAAGGGTGCCAATCATCCAAATTACACATGTGGCCATGGGCGGGAGTTCGCTGGTCAAAGGTCAACGGCTGAAGAACTGTAGGCCACATGTCCTTTCAAGCCGCAGGCTCGGAGCCTCTACCCCTCTCAAGTAGCAAGGATGTTCATCCCCCAACTTTAGGACCTTAGAACGACTCAAACCAATTGGGTCATGTCTGGGTCTTTTCGGATCTTGTAAAGGTCATCCCACCTGACTCCTCAAGGGAGCCTGACTCCCGATGAGGTGAACCGAATTTGTTGAGTGGGGTTCTCCATGCTCCAACCCCCCCAAACAAAGGGTTCAAGGATATCCACTTTTTCCAGGGTAGAAACCCCAAACCCAGGTTGCCGCTCTCCATCGTTCAGATCTCAGCTCCCCGCCACTGATCGGGGAGCGCCCTGGCGGCACCATGGCTTCCTTGGCGTGGGGTGGAGTCACTGGGGTCTGCGGCAGAGGAGTACGGAGAGGAGAAAACATCAACTGTTTGCCCATGGTCTGCAGATTTCCCCCTTTCTGCTGGTCACTACAGAACAAGGAAACTCGATGAGAGATGTCTCTCACGCTCTCCCTCTCACTTGTCCATCACCCTGTTCCTCTCCACTCTCTCACCCACAAGCTGGTGCCAAACTCACACTTCCTCACGCGCATGACTAAGCTGGGGCTGCCGGAATCTCAACAAGTCCCTATTTTGCAGAAATGCTCTGGCTGTGCTACCTTGCGGCTGCGTCGGCGACGCTGCTTTGCGGGCTTGCCATGGCTTGTCCCAACACACGCTGATGAGAGTCTTCCCGAGCCTTCCCCGTGTCACCAGGGCTCAGCCTCCGTTCTTTGACTTTGACATCCTTGGACGCCAGGGCCCTACAGGTTCATGGCCCCAAATGACTCGGACTTGATCCCTCCAAGCGTCCAGAAAGAGCGCGGCATTGCCCCGGTCCTCCGGGGCCTCCGGGTCCGCACCGCGTCCTCGGTCGTCGATCTGGTAGCCGCTGGGTTTCTGAAAGACCACGGCATCCGGCAAGTCCAGGAGGAGCCGAGGCTCCTGGAGACCAAGGTGAAAGAGACCTCTGGTGAATGTTTTTGAGCCCATCGTCGGCATAGTTGGCGAGTTGATAGATGGATGCCTGGTACAGGTCCCACAATCAGGAACCAATGATCCCGCGATCGCTATCCAGATATGTTCTCAAACCTATAGGAGCTCTCTGGGGAGCATCCACATACACCACAGGACTCAACCAGCAAAATCAAAACACACGAGAAGACAGCCAAACAGCGAGTGGGAACACCATAGCCCTAGCCACAAAAACCCTCGATTTCATAAATGATATAAATTGAAACATTTATGGTATAAAATTGTATATAAACTAATCATGTCACTACTCATCAAAACACGTCGAAACACCCTACATGACGTTACCCTTTTGCATCGTCGCCTCTCCCGTCTCCTACCCCCGCCTCCTGCACCGACCTCCGTACCGTCCCCAACGGCAGCGCCGGCAGCACCGGGCGGCGCTGCCGCGCGTCGCGCGCGGCGCCCAGGCGGAGCAGGGCACGGCGCAGCCGCTGGAGCTGCGGGAGCTCCAAGGAGGTGAGGCCCAGCATGTGAAAGGACCAGCTGCAGGTGACCTTGATGGAATGGAGTGGGTGTGGCAATTGTGGAAAAAATGAAGCAACCTGTTGTGTCAAGGGTTGGCCGGAAGAGTTGCCAGTTACATCTACTCAGATTGTGAGGATGTTTGAGGGCCTGGGGTGAATAGTGAGGGGAGGAATTCAGAAAAAAAGAACGGAAGGTTCGGAAAGGTTACATAAAAACCAAGGAGTGACAGATCCAAAGAAAAGGTTGGTGGGGAAGTTCATCTATAAGCGCTAGTTCAACCACTGTTCATCCAACGAGCCGAGCCCACAAGTTGGACTATGTCACCGTTAGCTGGCAGGACTTGCTCGAGGAACGTCCAAGCACCGCGGAATTTCAACTCATGGACTTTCTTCGGGGTGAGTTTGTTGAAGGCTAAGGCAGGAACAAACCAAGTGATGGAACAAACTGTCCAGTCGTTCCCCACCACCCAGGCCGACGCACTGCTGGTCCTGGACCGGTGGATAGGGGATGGCTCCGCATCGGTCGTCGGTCAGAGGTGGAGGTCTCTGGCAAAGAGTACCCGTCGACGCAAAGCACCGTTTGCCACCTAGCCCACCAAAACCAAAAAAGGAGGCTGATGGAAAATGAGCACGACTTTGGGCCAAAAGGGCCTGTGTTACAAGAACTTCTGGCCCAATCAATCGGGTGTTCTTCCGTCGTGGGTGCCGGACCTGCTGAGATCTGCGGAGCGAACTGGGATTGGCTCGGTCGGGACTGGAAGACTCACCTTCCCCACCAAGAAGAACCCTCACAATCGGTGAGTCCCCAGTAATTATACAGTTCCCCAAGTCCAATGACCGTATTGGTGGTTCCTGTTGGCACCACATGTTTTGAAGCGCCTTTTGCTTGAAGCACCCCCTCATGTCCCCATCCCACTCCATCATGTCCCCATCCCGCTCACCCCAAGTCGCCCAGGCTTCCGCCACGTCGGCGTCGGCGGAGCCGTCGGAGCCCTCGGCGCAAAGCAGCTGCTGGGCCACCAGGTCCAGCAGTTTGAGGCCGTTCGCGGCCTGCAGGGTGGCCTGGGAGGGAGTTGGAGCTGCCGTTGTCAGAGTGGTGCAGAACTCAATCACAAGTGGTCGAGACTAATGAGACACCTATGAGAGACTACATGAGATGAGTGTCACATCAGACCATGGAGTGAGTGAGGCCACGCATCCGGAAGGCCACATGTTGTGAAGGGTTACCTCTGAGGTGAAAATGATCTGCACATCAATCGAAACAGTCGAAAACTCAACCCCAAACTCGTGGATACCAAGAGAGGTCCTTGGCAACCTGAACACCAGGACCCGTCACCTGAAATACCCAACTGAAAAGTAGAACTAGGGTCCTTCGACCTCTGTTGGTATGTCTGGATGTTGCAGCCTCTGCCTAACCCAGAAGCACGCAGGACTTCTCGACTGCCACCAAGCCACGCAGGCCCACGCCAAGCTGGCCAGGCTGGTGACACTGAGCCGCTCCGAGTGCAACCGCTGTTCCACCAGATCCAACTCAGCACCCAGCAAGCCTCGCGACGCGAGAGCGCGTGCGCAGATCTGCTGTCTGCGCCCACCCACAGCGACAGCCTCACACCGACAGGGAGAAAGGGTTGCCCACGGTTTTTGGGGGGCGTGGTCGGAGTTGGTGCTTGGTGGCTCGTCTCCAACTTGGCGTCACACATCATCGATTGGACCCCTCTTGAAAGTCCAAGTCCTCTGTTTGGATTGGCTTATGTGAACACCAGGCAGAACGGAAAAGGGATTCACCTACACGGACAACAAGAAGGGCCCCTTTCGCAAAAGCAAGCCTGTCAAGAGCGCCAATGAACTTCTGGGCTCCCGCACTGATGTCACCGCCCAGACTGGCTGCTGAGTAAAGCAAGGCCTTGGGGCTGGGGCACAGGGTAGGCTGACAAAAGAAGAGGCCCAGGGTAGGCTACCCCCCCAGGTCCGGACCCTACCTACCATAGGTCGACTTGACCACCCAAGCAGGGCGGGAGTTCTGTATGCGGCTTCACCCGCGCCACGTCGTGCCCGGGGCGCCGTGTACGACGTGCTGCGTCAGGCGGCCACCAGCTCCGGCAAAGACCGGACTTCCCGAGGCTCGGAGACCCGAGCACCAGGGACCTGGAGCAGTGGGACGGTAGTGTGTCCGGTGAGGATGGAAGCAACCCCCCAAAGCATCTCAGCCTCGGCGCCAGGACCTTCCCAAGCACAAGAGTCACAAGAGATCCCAGTGGCTGAGGTCACTTTGGTCTTGAAATTCTGGAACCGACTTACAGGTCCTGAGCTTTTCAAACTCCAATTGGCTCGCAACTAAGGTTTAGGCACGCAAATTTCAAGGCATGTTACTCAACTCATCGAAACAACCAGAACGCAAACAGAATCTGCCAAATTTTGCCCATGAACCATGGTGCCTTCTTGACACGACGTTCTTCTCAGCACCCACATATCCCACTCTCAGGCCAGCGCCTCCAAGAGTGCGATCGTGGCTGGCCAAGCCTGGAACACCAAGGGCTGAGCTTCCCGCTGCCGACTTCCAAAGAGCGTGACTTGGAGTGGAGAGAAAATGCTATAGAGTTTACTCCTGGTTGCTCCTGCCATCTCGTCCACCCACACCAGCTCCCCCCCATATCATGCCCCCGCGTCACCAGCGCCGCGTCACCAGCGCCGCCTCCGCCTTCATGGCCGCCGTCACCAGCTCCGTCCGCCCCACCGCGTCGGAGGGGAGGCGTTGCAGCAGCAGGTCGTCGGCGAGCGCCAGGCACAAGCGCCAAGAGCCTGACCCAAAGATTTCATGGGACTGGAGAGATGGGTCTTGGGTAGAGATGGGCACCTGGAAGAATTGACTTTTTAAGATTTTTAAGGTGGAGGTCGAAGGGTGGTGATCTTGCGCTGATCCCTCTTTCAACCAGCCCAATTGCATGGAGTGTCTGGATTGAGCATCCAAACAGCTCTGGGATGGTTGAGATGGGGCGAACGAAGTGAAGAAATGGACCGAATGCTGGGAAATCTCCAATGCCTGGGCTGAGTCAGATGTTGAGAAGTGATCAGAAAGGGTCTGGTGACCCTGATGGGCCTGAGATAGGCATTGGGTTAACTCAACAACCATTGACCACATGCATAGATTATGGACTGGCACAAAGTCTCCAGCGGCTAGAGGTTCAGCACCTGAATATCTCAACATACCTCCAGACTGGCGCTCGCATGTTTTAGGTGGCCTGCTCTTGTGGAACTGTATATACTGCATGCTAATCCGCGACAACGATGGTCCTTATATAAACTTAGAAGGCACGGTGTCACCCAGGACGTGCCGCATGCTTTTTGTAGGTGACCCCAAGAAGACAGGGATGGCAGCAACTGGGGGCTGAAAACAACTGGGAAGTTTTCGGTCACCACGGCATCGAATCAAACCTTGCCACTGGCGTTCAATGCCCATTTCATTTGAGCTTGACGTTGTTGCGCAAATCATTGCCAGAACCCAACTGCAAGGTCCATCCTAAAAAGATCTGCAATGACGTCTCGATGGTTCCACGTCAAGCTAAGCAGCTAAACTAAACTCCCATCAAACACATCAAATTGGTGATCACTTCAGGAAAAATATAAAAACAGTAAGCTTTCGGAAAAAAATCGAAACAAACTACCCGCCGCTCATACTCCGGCCCAGCCGCTGTCTTTCCGCAAGGCTCCCAGCGCCGCGTTGCCAGCGGGGAGGCCTGAAGAACGGCTAGGAACGGCAATGGACTCGGTATATCTCGGTATGAATGGAGAAGAACGGGGAGAACCGTTCAGTTCAGCCCAGGTTGTTTGTCCCAAAAAGTCGAGCTCCAAGGTGGAGAACCTAAAGAATTGACCGTTCTTGAGACCAAGCTTGCAAGTTCCAGATGGTCGTGGAACAAGTTGATCATACAAGAAGAAAATGCCAGTTTGTAGTCCTTGTGACCAACTGATGCCGGGCCAAGTCCTCACACACACCTTCGGATAGTGGGCATAATCCCCATGCTTAAGCAGACCGAAACCACTGTTTGGAGGTTTCCATCCGCACGCAAGCGATGTCCGATTTCCATCCGATCGCTGCTGGCACATCTGCCACGGTTTTGCCACCCACCATCCGTTCCACGCTCCCAGCGGCTGAGAGGTCTTCCCAAGCATCTCAACGCCCTGTGCCAAAGAGTCCGCTGGCGTCCTACAGACGCCATCAGCGAGCCTCCGGTCTCCAAGAGCGAATGACAGCGATCGTTCCCATGAAGAATGCCGTGGGCACATCAGACTATCCCCCTCCTTGCTGAGCTTTGGAGGCATGCTGAGGCATTATATAGGTGATGATCCAAAGTCCCGCGGGGATCCTCTTACCATCAGTCAACCTTGCTCCCTATTTAAAAAAAAAATCATGTCGGAAACCCCTAAATACGGATTATATTTGCGTTTAGACTACCGCCCTTTAGAAGCACTACTAGTCTACCAACATGGCCGATTTGGTGGAGTTTTGTTAAAAATATATTATAGGTTCCAAAAACAACCCTAACTGCCTACCTCTGTCCACCCTGTCTTATCCTCCATGACACGCCGCCTTTACACCAGCAGGTGTTCCTTCCCCCAATGGCACGGACTCACCTTTCGAATGCTTTAGTTGTTAGTCTAATGAAGAATCACTATTTTAATAAAGGTATGTGTAAGGGGAAAAGGAAGAACCTTCGATCTGGAGGTTTTTTCAATGTTTGATACGAGGTTAATAGAGGATTTTGGATACTTGTTTTTTCCTGGGTGACTTTTTGGTTAATCAATGATTCAAGGATCCTCCCACTGACCCTATTTTGGACAACCCCGATTTCAAGGACCCCCTATTAAAAAGTGCACCCGAGTTTTTGTTAATAGGGGGTGCGTGCTTTTTTAATAGGTGGAGAGGATTATCTGGGGGGATGGGCTACACACCAGCCCTCGACCTCGGCAGAGCACTTGCTGAGTTTTGCTGAGAAAATTGAGACTTTCCATCTGTCCTGCAATGATCAGGTGGGGAGTGTGTCATTTTGGAATAGTATTGGAATAATTTGGGGGAGTGGTGACGGTGAGGCTAACCCCCTTTCACCAGTCGTCCGCCTTTTCCAAGCATGACATACAACCTGCCACTACTGCCCGGAAGAGGCCCACACGTGCAACCCAGAAAAAAGATGCAAGACGCAAACACACCTAAACCCCTCTCTTCACAAACCTGCCAAATCATGTTCCAAAAAAGAACCACAAAGGCCAAGCAAGGTCAACCTGCATCGGGGCGCCCTGTATGATGGCATTGGGCCGGAGTGCCTGCATGGGCCTCACGGCGCGTCGTTGCGGGGGTCCAGGTCTGAAGGACACCTTCCGGTCGCTAGTGCAACATACAAATCATGATTCACCATCATGGTAGATTCATGTAGACGGGTAGGCTGGTGGTCCCACCAGGCGGCTTTCCTGCAGAAAAAACACATGGAACACATACTGTAGGCCCTTTGGTGCCTGGGCGACGAACCCACAAGCGACGAACCCAGAGCTCCAGGCCAGGGGTTGATCCCAAAAAGCCGGTCCTCGGGTCCTCCGATCCCATTGTAGTCGGTCTATCGTTGAGAATTCGGGGATGAGACGGCCGAGATGCCTACAAAAGAGGTCGCCCGGCCGGGGTGGCACCCAGGTTCTCAGTTCTCTTTGATGTCGGGTTCTTGGATCGTGTGGGGTCGGGATTTCAGATCTCGGAAGTCGAATCTCAGGTTTTCGGACCTCGGGGAAACCCCGCTGACCGTTCCAGACCGTGAGAAACGGCACTTCACACCGGCAGGTGGCACTTGATACGCAAAATGAGTTGAGACGAAACTCCGGAAGTTCCAGGCCCTCCAGGGCGTGCATCCCTGATCCAGTTCCAGCAAAATATGACCCTGGCATAAGAGGGCTCCCCACCATCGCATGAAAAAAACACCGTAGAAGTCGAACCATGGTTTTACAGTTTTACTAAGGATTTTACGCTACAAAACCAGATTGATCAACTTAAACTTGGTCTTGGGTTTGTATAATTACTCCGCTGATCACCTCGCAGGTAGGGAATTGTGATCAAAACGTGGTTCGACAGTAGCACAGTTTCGAGGTGTAAAGGCACTACTACTAGTAACAAGAAGCTACTAGGTTGGAGGCCATCGCTAGTAGTAACAAGAAGCTACTAGCCGTAGACGGACAGGAGGGCCCTGTCTCCGTCGGTGGGTTTGAGGCGTCATCTCCCCATCTCCATCGGGCTGTCCATGCAAAACACCATATGGCCAAAGCGCACTAAGTGGTCATCAAGCCTGCTCCCTGCATTGTGCAAAAAACGCAGGGCCTGTCTGAAGGAGCTCACACACAAGTCTGAAACAGGAAAGCATCACAACAACCATCGGAACCTATGAGATCTTGTGAAAGCTCCCAACGGTTATCAAGGATTGAAAAGAAACGCTACAACCCAACAACTAGCATCTTGGAGGGCGCTCTGCCAGTCTGCCATGTTTGCCGTACGCCGTGCGGTGATGAGCGTCCAAGGCACATGCGGCGCGCGAGGTCTGTCGCCTGACGCCAAGGGCAGCTTTTCAGGACCACAGCAAGGCTCACCTGGAGGTCAACCGAAGGAGGCGGACCTAAAAACCAGTTCGAATCAGGTATTATATATAACTATCACAGGGTGTGGAAAAATCAGGTAGGTTCATAGGTTTGGAATTATGATGTTCTTTGAGCCATTATCCTGTGTTCAGTATATCGGACTAGGATGTGTAGGGTCTTTGCTGTATAGCAGTGTGTTCACTGATCATTGGCCCGGAAAAGAACAGAAAAAACTCTAAAAACATCAGAGAGACACCTGTAGAAGTCGCGAACAATTAATGGTCCCAAAGACGTTCTGTCTGTCCTGTATGTGTGGAAATCCGGCTCTCTAGGTTGAAGTGCCTTGTGGCCGGTGAAAGAATCCGAAAATTGCTCCAGGAAAGCGATCCGGGCTTTACAACGAGATCGGCGCTGGTGACATCCACGAATCCACTCGGGCACATCGGGTTTTTATGTGACTAGACAGCAGGAATAGAACGAAAAAAGGGGCCAACACCAGCACCACTCAAAGGGTGATACGTAGACCGTTGTAGAACCCCCTCAAACCCATTCAAAACCCATATGCCTTACCAATCCTTCCGGGCCCAACGCAGTCTTCCGCCCATCCCCTCATTCTGACCGCCCCTGACGTCCGAACCGGCGCCCGAACCGGCCGGCCTCGTTGAAGCCGCGAGGCTTCAGCGCAGCAGACGCCGCAGCCCACAGGGAGGCGCACTGGGTGCGGTGACCGGTGACCGGGGACGGATCGCTTCAGTCCGGCAAGACATGCCAGGACGCTCGGGGTGGTTCATGGAGTGTCCCTTATGTAACCTCTGAGGCGATCAATAGAAACCCCCTGGGTCCGGGTGTCCTGGTGCCCTGTGTTGCTATTTCGGGTCACCTCTCACACCTTGATTCCTGCCCGAGCCCCACCCCAACCCGACCTCATAGGCGCTCAAGGCGGTGTTGTCCGTGATCCGTTGCACTTGCAGCTGCTGCTGAGTCATCTCTTTGATCGAATTCAGGCTCAGCTGCCAAAGAGAACCTGCTTCAGTGGGGCGATGTTGGGTGGGCGCCCAGCGTCTTTAAAAGATCACAGAGCTCCCCTCTTCCAGGACTGAGACCTCTTGACATTGGACGCCGCAGACCTGAAGAAAATGGCCCATCATCCCTCCTTCCCAGGGGCCTACAAAAACGGATCATGGGCACCTCTTTGAACTGAGCACGTGCAAGGCATTTGGGGGAGAGCTTTGACCCGAATGGATCTTCGGGTCAGAGCTCTCCTCGCCCGTGGACGTTTCAGGGCGACAAGGAGTCGGTGGGGCCGGGTGTTTTCCATGGTTTTCCCTAAAGTTCGAAGCACTATGTACACATTTCGGACCTTCACCGATCAACCATTCTGAAAAACCATTGTTGCACTGGACAGTTGTAGACTTCAACACCAGGTCAACCACTCCCAGAGCTTTCTCTCCAAGGAGAGGGGTACCCCAGGCTTGGGCTCTCCACGGGCTGCGGCCCGACGTCCGGCGAGAAGCTGAGAACGAGTGATGAGTCGGAGTCCTACGCCACCAGGCCATGCGGTACCGGCGGGTCATGCGGTGCTCCCCGCGCCAGGCCTTTCACAAAGACATCTGCCAAAGAGTTGAAGCCTCGATGTTCTTAGCAAAACACCGTCGGAGCGGGATGATCCCGAGGGTTTCGATCCACCAGCAGGGAGGATGCAGGGAACACCGAGATCCCCCCCTGTCCAGCAGCTGGAGTTCCAAATGCTGTGAGAGGCCATTTTGGGGCTTTGAGGTGGGGTCGATCTTCTTCTATCATGCAAAGTGGAGAGGAGTCTCCTCTCAACTGATCTGCATTACCGGTCTCTCCTCCTCCACTTGGGACAGCTTGCCTCAATGGAGAGGATCTCACGTATATCATAAATCGACGGATTATTAAGTTATACTGCAAATGACTGCAACGCTGCTGACCACCATGTGACCACAAGCTGCCAGGTCAAGTGCTCAAGTGCCCCCCCTACCCATTCTGCAACCCGAACACCCCGAACACTGGCCGGGCGTCTGATGGAATCCAACTGGATGGATCGTCGCATCAGGACCTGCGTAACTCGGTCGTGAAGAATCACCACAAGCATCCAAACCGCCCCAGGGCGGTTTGGCCTCATACACCATCGCCAGTGCTCGTGCATTAACTGGAAACATCTTGAAACCCTCTATCTCTTCGGGTGCCAACCCCTCCAAGCCCTTTCAGCCCCCTGCCTCCTCAGCCACCCGCCATCGGCCCCGCTTTCCGACGCCGGCCGCCGCCGCGTTGCGCGCCGCCAGGGGCGCCCACGTCGGCTGGAGGCAGTGAAGCGTCCAGGGCCACGGAGAGCTGGGAGCCTTGGAAAGTGGCCACGGAGAGCTTGGGGAGGCCTGCGGAAAATTAAAGCATAGATGAATAGATTAATTACCAATATAGATTACGAAAAAATGTAATAAATTGTTGAATGTGTCTTTGCATTAGCTGAGCCTGGACATCGACCTATAGCCCTCTTGGAGCTACAAGAGCGGTCTTTTTGGGAGGGACGAGTGACACCGTTGCGGGAAAATGGGCCGGGCCGGGCCGCCGTGGTTTCAACCCCTCCTCAGAGAACCACCACCCCTCTTCGCTGTGGGAAAAGAAGAGAGGTCAGCTTCCGCGGCAGGTGTTAATGTGGAGGCGGTTTTCCGACAGTACGCCCTAGGCCCCCAGGCTTGTCAACGCGGCGGAAAGGACACCAACATCAGCAGGACCCCACCACAAGCACAGATCGTCCTACAGGGAGGGTGTCCATTTGGTAGCGTAGCGCTTAATCCATTGATATAAATCTGGATGCGTGCCGTGGACTCACCAACTCGAATGCCCAAACAAGGCCTAAACGGAGAGTTGCCCACTCCACAGACGGGCTTCCCAAGGCACCGAACCAACCGCGCTCACCACCGCGCACTGCACGAAGGGGTTCGCCTCCAGTCGCGCCTCACACATCTGCAGGAAGAGCAGCAATGCCCTGCGCCAGGAGCACCCAGAGCTCGCGTCGCACGCGTCCGCGCTCGCCTTGTCGCATGCCGTGAGGACCGCGTGGTAGCTCTGCTCATTGGGACAGATCTCCTGGCGCGAACGTGGACGACTGGAGTGGACGGAGCTTCTCTAGTGGCCCGGACCTCGGATTCTTGGAAACCTGCAGCCACCCGTAAGTAAAATGGCCCCTATATATATAGTCAACACATGGATTTCAAATAGAGGTATGTTGTATACAAAATACATCAAAATACTATACATGATACGTATATAGAGGTGAAAAATCCGTGCTCGTGGATAAATGATGATAAAGGAACATACTCACTCTGGATGACATGATCTTTGGCCCTCCAAGTGCCCCACTAGATGATGTTCAACTCCCTTCCTCCCTTCCTCCATCTTCCTCATTCAGAGTCTCAGTCTTAGCAGTTCCCAGACTGTTCCCACAATCCCAAAGAACTGCTGCCACAGTTCTTGAGAAAAAAACACGCGTTTGAAACAAAAAGCACAACCCCACCGAAGATTGACATATGACAAGGCTTTGCAGCATGGGTCTTGTCAAAGTCCCAAGGCCGATCCTTCCGCGGATTCTCGGCGTCTAACTGTTCCACGACTTGTTCGCCACATCCGGCACCCCTGGGAGGCAAACCCTCCGGCATAAAGATCCATGGCTACTAACTCACCAAGCAGTTGCATCTTAGGTCACGAATCACGAAAAAGGCAAATGAACACCTGGACCTTCTTTCTCATGCGAAAACAAGTGAAATCACTATATATATTATATAGCCATTTAGTCCTTTGGTGCCTGAACTTCCCCTCAACCCCATGCTGCGCCACACTTCTGCGTGCGCCCGCTTCTGTGGTCCTCGGCTGGAGCTCGCTGAAGGAGCTGAAGGGCACGAGACCACTGCTGCGCCTTGAAGCGTTGCGGGTGAACCGACAAGAGGCTCCTGGTAAAGAGCTGTGCCCAGAATACACCTCGCCAGATTTAAGCTACATCTTTGCCAGCTTGCAGATTAACCAAAGTGGCTAGGTCTAGATAGGTCTGAGTCTAGTCCATTGGCTATTCCTCGCCTCTGGATATCCCCAAGCCCAGACTCGCCAGACCGAAGGAGCGGTCACTGATACCGGCATCTGCACGTGATCCCATTCATTCGTCCCGCCTGTGCAAAGAGATTCATGGCGGCCGAGAGGGCCACGACATCGGCAGAGATGGTCGACCTCCTGGACACGGCGACCGCTGCGACCACCCTCCATGCGCGCGCGCAGAGCGTGCCGGGAGGACTTGGCATGAGGGAAAATCAGAGCGTGACCTGGCAGTACCTGGATGGCCTGCTCCCTTGGCGGCCATGAGAGAGCCCGTCACTTCACTCAGTGGAACCCTGAACCAACTCAGTTCCGAGGAGTCGTGAAAGCTTGAGAACTTGCTTTGGCTCTGAAAAGCCCACCATCCTGTCTGACAGACCCCCAACATAGATAAAAAGGTATCAGATCTCCACTCAAAAGGTATTGGAAACCGTGCGACTATCTGGGGAGCACTAGATCTGTTGTCCTCCCCAACGAAACCGCAGTAGGGAGTGAAGGTCTTCATCGCTCCATCGCGGTGAGTGAAGGTCTTCACCCCTCCATCGCTCCCTGGTGGATCTGTCCGAAGTAATGGTTAGACTCTTGTTTTGAAAGCCCCTCATCTGGATTGCAGAACCTCTCCACATGTCATATCCGGAGATTCTATCAATCAAGAGTCCACATGACACGTCTGTCTGTGTGTTGCTTCGTTCGCCATTCACACCATTGTTCATCCCGTCCATGTTTTCAAAACGGCTTGGACCCGGCGGGACTATGCCGCGGTTCGCTCTTGGACCATGCCGAGATGGGTGTTGGAGGGGGGTTGGCAGGTCTGGGCGGTCGCGGTGAAGACCTCGCACCGGTCGCTGCCCATGGAGTTTTCCTCCATTTCTTCCCGCACGATCCGTTGCTCGGCAGAGTGTGTCGGCTGTCCAGTGTCCACCATGGCAGGACGAATTAGGACTCATTTGGAAAGAAGCGACCCCCCTTCTTCGTGCCCCCTTCTTCCTCCCTTCTTCGGCCCCCCGCAGCATGCACACACATTACATACAATACATGGTGATACATGCAGCTATCGCAGGACCACCCCCCCAAAAAAGAACATGAAAACATGGCGCTGGACCCTGTCCTCTCAAGGAGGTGACAAAGCGCGGCCCACGCCAAGGTCCTCTCCACCGGAGAATGCGTCATCTATCTCTTCTTCGGTGATTGCTTCTGAAATGCTCTGAGGCTCTGGCCACTCTGGCCATAGGAATTGAGGCCCTTCATGAGGGGCCCTAACTTCGGGACCGCGTCGACGGCGACCATGTTAGATCGGCGGCTCTTTTGGGGGGGGTGCCCCCCCACACCGGCGGAAAGGGCTTGGCGGCCCCGGAGAAGGCCCAAATCGATTGATTAAGTTCTCCAAATGGGCCTTGGCCATCTGGGCCCCCCAAATGAATGGTCTAATTCAAGTTCCTCCATTGATTCTCCATAAAATCGCTCCTCCTGCTCTTTCTGCGTGTGAGCTCGTCGCCCAAGGCGACGCAACGGCCGCTCCCCACCTGCGCCCGCGCGCGCGCGCGCTTTCCCCGCCCAACCTCGCCCGCGCGATCGCAGCTCCTGCGACATTCCTTGATGAAGGCGCTCAACCTCAAAGCGTCACCTGAGGGGATCAGTACCGACCCACGAAGAGCCGAACCCGTGAGAGAGGCCGCAAAGCTACGGTGTCCATTCGGAGCCCCAAAGGCTCTATATTATATCCCTAGAAGTCTAAAGGCTATTTTCGGCGGCACCCAAGTAAAGGAAGTTCCTTTTCGGATCACCTAAAGACCGTTTTAAAAATGATCTTGGACTCCCAGCGTGTATATATATATATATAGACCCTGGGAGTCCAAGACCATTGTTAATGGTCTTTAAGTGATCCGAAGAAGGAATTTCCTTGGCTTCGGTGTCCCAAAATCGTCCTTTGGACGGAATCGTGTGGGTAGGAGGTTTATACATGGTCCCACCCTCACCACCCTCGACCTATGGACCACCCTCGACCTTCGGGCCGTCTTCGTTTCAAGCCGTACGGTAGACGTCCGGGTCACGGGCCTGGCGTTAAACCTGGTCCTTGACGTACTGGGTTTTGCATGACCAACTCTCCAGTCGAATGAGGTCCGTAAGACCTGTAGGCAAGTGATGAACAGGATGATTGGGAAACTTGTTCATCACTGCGCTGGAATCGGAAACACCACATTGTGAAAGAACTACTGCTGGGAAATGCCACATCAGGATGAGTTAGGAACAACCTTGGAATTGGGGGAGCAAAACGGGTATTGTGCAAACACTTGTTTTCTTCCCAACTTCTCCAAACTTCAAGGGCCCCTTTTCCCATCCACCCCCTGCGATAGAAGATGGAGAGGCCGCTCGGCATGCTGCGCCGATCCGCCGCCCGCAGCGCGGCCGGCATCCGGCATCCGGGCCGCTTGGAGCCATGAATTCTACCGCTGGGAGGCTCAAGACTCAGATCTGGTGAGCCGATGGACCCTGAAAGCTTCGCGGGCACGGCCCGGCAGCAACACCGGGCAGGACCTGTCTTGGGGGCCAATGGGCACCGGCTCTTGGTAGACCTGCAGTGATCCCACCAAAATGATGTGTCTCCATTCAAACCACCTCCGCTAGCGTGCCGGCACATCGCTACCATCGGAAAGCCGGCTCTTGTCGCAAGGTGACGGCTTGAGAGTCCGGAAGTCATAAACCCTCTTCCGAGAACTTGAAGGAATATTTGTGCATCAGGACCTCACTACGACCCAAAGCAATGGCAAGAACATGACTTTAACCGAAGCGGCACTCATCAACACGACTCAAGAAGGTGCATCAGCCCAATGTTCAGGGGTGATTTGTCAGACCCAAAGTGAATGCTTGAGGATGTTTGAGGATCTAGGACCCCCCCCTCCGGCTTAACCTCCCTTCCCCGCACTTCTTTCCCATCCCTACTTCCGCTCAGACCACCAAAAGGGATCCACCCCGAGGATACTCCGACCGTGACCGCTCTCTCCTTCACCCCTGCGACTCCCCGGCCTCGGCGGCACCAAGGCGGACTTCCGCACCGAGGCCCCAGACGCCGGGCTCAAGGTCTGCGAGCGAAGGCGCGCCACGTCACGCGCGGGCGGCAAGACGGCCGGTGGGTGGGACGGTGGTCCCACCCGGCGGTGCTCCATGAAAACGGCGATGGTGAGTGGATGATGTAGAATTGGAAGGGAGTAGGGAGTAGACCCCTACTCGACTCGTTAAACAATCGCAAGCATAGCCCCTGGAAGTCCAAAGACTATACTTTCCCTGAGTGAAGTAAAGGAAATTCCCTTTCAGGTTCCATAAAGATGCTTTTTTGTATAGTCTTTGACTTGCAGGGATTTTGTAGATGCCTTGCCCGGGGGTGGACTGCCCCCTGCTTCCAGGCTGGCATCTGGAAGGGGATACTTGGACCCCATGACATGACCAGCGGGGCAGCATGACCATCTAGTTTCGTTGGGTGCCCCCGGCTGCACTGCTTCTTCATCAGACCACAGACCGGAAACGATTCATGGACGACCTTGGATGGTGCGGGGGTTGGGCCAGGCCCTGAGGTGCCCCTGTGGAAGTTCCCCACGAACGGAACTCGCAGTGAAAACGACTGGTTCAACGACTGGCACATATCTATCTATATATCTATACTCAATTGGATGAGAAAAACGAAAAAAAAAAAAAAAACACATCCAGGACCTTCCAAGCGATGTCTAGCCTCTGTCCACAGCTCTGGTGTCCACTGTCCACATGTTAGACCAGACTCGTCCACCCGTCGACCCCTAAGAATTCCCCCAGTAGACCCTATAGGTAGTCGAAGGATGTTGAGGGTGTCCATTTTTTCACCATCGCTACGTTCGGAGCTTCTTGTGACTAGTAGTACTGGCCTCCAACCTACTAGAGATGGCCTCAACCTAGTAGCTTCTTGTTACTAGTAGTAAGGCCCTTGCTCCTAGTAGCGATGCACTTGTTCCTAGTAGCGATGCCAGGAGCCCCTAGTAGCTTCTTGTTACTAGCGATCAAAGAGAGTCCACAGACCCACCCATCGGCCACCGGTCGGCGCCTTGGCCTCGCGGCTCGGCGGTCGCGACGACCCAGAGCGCTTGCTGTTCGTCCGCGGCTCCGGCGTCGGCGTCGTCACCCGAACGACGGGGGGCGCCAAAGTGGTAGACGTTTCACCTGGGGAAGCAGCGTTCATCGAGGTCAGTGAGGTGAGCGAGATCTGGTAAGACCGAGATGTCTTTTTTGATAAGGATCCTCCCAAAGCTTCAGTTCCGTGACCTTTCACTTGAGATCTCAGGATGTCACGACAAACGAGAAAGAGACACCAAAGAAAGACTTTGAAGGTCCTGGTCCACCTCTGGACCGCCGGTGGGAATTTGAATGGCCGCGATGATGCGGGAGTGAGCAATCCTCAAGCACTTCGGTACCACAAGCAATACATGGGCAAAAACACCTTGTTGGAGGCCTGTTGACTTTTGGGACCTGCCCTGCCTCAAATCTGATGATCTATCGACTATCGATGATCTATCTCTGAAATCCGTCCCAGGCCAACTACACACTGTAAGTCGACATCATGTGCGTGCCTTCTCGCTATGCGTGCCTTTAGGATACACCCATGCTGCCCATGGGACCCATGCAGACACACCTTCGGCTCCTCCCCCACCTCCCCACGGGCTTAACCGGCCGAACCACCGGGCGCCTTTCTCGTCATCTCCCATGAAGGCGCTCGCTTCAAGCGAGGCCCCCGTTTGGGTGAGACCACGCCCCACGGCTAGGAGCGGAACGGCGGCGCCGAGCAGCGCGGGTACGGCGCGGAGCCGAACATGTAGGAAGCACCGGGGCACCGGAGGCGGAAGTGAACCGGGCACCGGAGGCATGGTGACTTCTGGAATCCTTTCAGCCTCATTTCCAGCCTCACTTCCAGCCTCAAAAGGAACACAGGAACGTTGAGACGTGAAGAGTGTAGGAACGAGAGTTGCTAGCCATGATGAACCACGGAGATCTACTATTGGAATCTTCGCCTCAAAAAGTTGCAGTGCTCTGACACATCCCCACCTACCTCGAATCTTGAAATACCTCGAGTGGCCCCTGTTTTGGGCCCATCTTCAGATCAGTTTTGGGCCCTGCGTGCCACACTTATATTGATTTCCACTGTGAGCGCAAATGGTGTTGATTCATTGGGGCCATGGGCTTTACCTGCAGGTTGTGCCGGGACAGTGCTCCTGTGGCAAAGGGATCACTTGCACAAATGGATCACTTGCGCAAACTGTTGCCCATTCCTGCTGCTCCACTCCCCTCCTCCTCGAAGGCCCCAGGGTCGCGCAACAAAAGCAACCAGGAGTCACATGTCGGGGTGTTTTCTTGTCACTAAGTGAGTGGATCATGGGCACCCCTGTCCTCCAATACGCCTTCCTGGAACATCGCTCCTTTTGTGGCCGAACCTCCCTCCGCGCGCGTTGAACATCCGCGCGCGGTCAGAGGAAGGCATCGAGCTTTGCGATGCCTCATGAAGTGGACAAGACCTTGAAGACCTGGAGTGAAGAACGTGGGCTCTTGTGGCTGGCGTCCCGCAAGTTCGAAGCCACGACGCAGACAGGTGACAGATGGTGACAGAGGCACAGCCTGTCGTGGTGAAAGCCTATATTTGGGACCGACCGAAGTAGAAGAAATGGCAGGTCGCCGAAAGACAATTCTGTTGATAGTCTTTGACTCCCAGGGCATAGCTGCCATCTCAACTTGGCTGGAATCTTGCTACCAGGAGCCTGGAGCCCTGGAAAGAACCACGAGGTTTTGAATGAAACATCCCGTCGCACCTAAGTCAACAATTTGACAACACAAACCCCTCCCACAAACCATCATAAGGCTACCACTTTGGATCTACAGTAAGCTGAGTTAGCTCCATTCGAAACCACCTCAACCCGTCATCCGGGATGCCCGGGCCCACTGAAGGCTTCCAAGGCTGCCGGGGCCTTGCAGAGAGGAGTCCGTCGGACGCGGACAAACGAACCTTCCGCGCGCCCGGCGTGGGTTTTCCGCGGCCCCCCCGGGTTCTGGAAGCGATCGATCGGACCCTTGAAGTGGATTGGATTGGCTGTTTGCTGCCGAAAAAGGAACTCACCGGAAAACATTGAACATGATCTGTGGGACGCTTGGGGTTGTCCTTGGTCACCTAACCAGTGCAGTGGTTGAGTGAGTGCACTGGCTGTCGCGGGTAGAAACTAGCTCGCTGGCAAATTCCGAGTGCACCACCAGTAGGAACATGGGTTTTGAACGGCAGTCGCAAAACAGGGTATCACAGCCAGGACCTGATCAGTAGTGCACCTAGACCACCAAACCAGGGGGCCGCATACTTATTAGTTGGGTCCCACAAATTCCCCCTTTTGATCAACACAACATGAGGCAACTCTTAATCGACCAAGCCATCCACGTCTTCATCGATGTTCCTTCTCCGTCCCCGGTCTGCACGCGTCGCACCCTCCGGGTGGCTGGAGTCCTCGGAGCCTCCGGGCATCCACGAAGCGGAGCGAGAGGCCCATTTCGGTGGAGACGAGAAGGGGAGAAGGGGACAGAAAGATTGATATATATACCAGGGCCCCCCAAGGGGTGGTTAGTGGATACCCCGAATCACCTCTAAGGAGCTATAATTAGACACCTGTTAGGGGGCCCTGGTATATCCTCTAAGGAGCTATAATTAGACACCCCTTAGGGGGGCCTGGTGTATATATATATATAATGTACCCTCCACCTCAAAAGGACCAGTTTTACGAGGTCCTGCTGTAAACGACCCAGTTTTACAAGGTCACATTTTCTTTGAGCTTCAACAACTTTCAGGTCACCATTTCCACGGAAGACTCTTTGGGCATTAAGGTCACCACTTCCACACAAATTTCTTTGGGCATTAAGGTCATTTCCATGGAACATTCTTTTGGGTTCGATGGTCCTTATACATGCATACCGGAGACATGGTACCCATACGCTCACTTTTAGCGGCGCCATGCCTTTCGCAAGTCCACGTGTGCCAATCTTTTCTTGGTGTATTGTCTTTTTTGCGCACGTTGTTTGCTCAATTGACCAATTACATTGCCATGATATACGTGGCTACGTGGGAGTCATGTTTGCTGCTTGCAATTGGACGCGTGCATTGTTCAAGCCGATGACAGTTCGTCGTCAAATCGCATTAGAAGCTTGCAGGTCTCATGCTATAGAGTCACGCTAGAGTCACGCCCAATGATGTCCATGGCGAAGTTTTTGACGTCCTTTACTAAGTAAAGGACGTCAAACACTTCGTGGTTTAGGTGGGAGTCACGCGAGAGTCACGGTAGAGTCACGGTCCCATGCCCGGGCCAGAAACGGCGAATTTCGGCCACATGCGTTGTCTGTGTTGTAACGCATCGACCTTGCTTCATATTAAAAGATCTAGCAGCCTGGGCGCCACTTATATGATATGCATGTGCTTGTTCCCACAAATATTTTGTCTGTGCGATGTTCGCGCGAAACGGAAACGGAAAGTAGAGCAAAACGCTCCTGGAAGCCATTGGTGCAGCATGTTGAATCACAATCATCGTGCCATGTATATGTGCACCATATATGCATAAAGTAAAAGACGTCTTTTACTTTTACCATTTGCCAAGTAAAAGACGTCTTTCACTAAGTGAAAAAGTCTTTTACTTCTTATAGTTGCCGAAGTAA